ATCCCATATTTGTAATATTTGTATCCCCCCCCCCAAAAAAAGGCACGTAGTATTTGAACAACCACGTAGCTGTAAATAGTTTGGCCCTCTTTGGTGGCAGTTTCTCCATAGTGATCACAATAATGATTATTCTTCCAGGGAATTCTCGTGTTTTCTGTGATATCCGCGGCCCCTTTGACGTACAACCGCACATACCACTACCCTACTTGGGCTCTGGTCCTCGGATGGACCCTGGCCTTAGTGTCTATGGTGACCATACCAATTTACTTCTTCTTCCACTTGTTCTCCAGGCCTGGAAGCACTTTAAAAGAGGCATGTATATATGTAATACTGACTTGATTTTTTTTCTTTTTCTATCATCTGGTTTGTGTACTTAACAGTGACACTTCTTTGCAGAAATGGAGAGAAGCTATCAAATCAAAATATGACATACCAAAATGATAAAGGTTGACAAATTTACACAAGATGTTCATGTGTTCAGTAAGTGTTACAAATAATATTACAAAATATGTATATATTAACAAATATAAAAGTTTATTTTCCAAAATTACAAGTAAAGAGTAAAATACTACCCCACAAGTAGGATACTGTTGGCATGTAGGTGCAACAATAAAATATAATTGTTGATCTTAAGAAATATCACATTAGCTAAACAACAAAACTGGCAAGACAGCCATTTCTGCATTCGAGCTTCTTTGAAACAACACTTCATGTAAAGTTTAAAAGCAGTCAAGACGTTTAAGCACATTATGGTAACTTTTGGTTGAGTTTAACCAGCAAGTACGAGCAACAGCATGAGTAATACTGAGTTCAAAGTCGCACTAAAATGATGATTTCTAAGATGGACAAGAGATCAGAGTCCAATCTCCACCTTAAAATTTACAGGAAGTGGAATAAAACATCTAAATGAAACATCTAAAAAGTTCACATAAATGCAAAAAGACAAAAATGAAGTTTACATAAATGATGATGAACTGCAGAAAATTGACAAATTGGAATGTGATATGTATGTAAAATTAAAAATGTAAAAAATAGCACCCTATAAGCAGGTTTAGATTCCTCAAATGGAGTCTCACATAAAGTATTGGTATAATTTTTATACACTGATCCCACATAAACCCAACCCCCTCTAAAAATAGAAAATTCATTATCTCAACAAATTTACATGACACCTGTTTGAGCAATATTATGACCATTATCAAAATGAGTGCAGATAGATTAATCCACTCAAACTGAGAAGCAGTGACTGATCTGGTCAGTCTTTACAGCTTTGACCTGAACTCGTCAATCCGAGAGGCAGCCTTCTTCTGTAACTCTGTTAGTTTCATTGCAAGTCCCATGTTGCCCTGTATTTTAATTTTGCCCTGGAAAAAGGCTTTCTGGGGATTCAACTTTCCAGTGATTAGGTCAGGAACATCTTTGTCATCCATTATGAATGTCACATCTGCTTTGGCTGCAACCAGAACATCAAATGTTAGACAAAGTAGACTGTACTACAAACATCTGTACAAATTCATGGGATTAATGGGAACATACCTTTGCTGTTGAAGTCAACACTGCCCTTCCCAGTTTTGGCGTTGATCAGCCAGAAGCCTTCAGCTCCACCCGGACCATTCTTCACCTTAAATCCATAAGTACCACGGAATTTCTCAATAAGGTTATCTTTGTCATCTGCCATAGCCAACTCCAAAGCTTTGAAGAGGATTGATGCTTTAAAATCATCGGGGTTAGCACTAGCTGAAACAGTGTTGAGACCCACAGCAGACCTGTCGAAAAAATAAAACAAAAATAACTAAATTGATCGGCAAAATATTCTTGAAAACTTACCCAAATAAAATAATTTAACTCACCTGGCATAGTGAGGGAATCCCAATCTATACAAAGCGACAATGACAGCTCCACCAAGACCAATGTTGTGCTGTAGACCTAGTTTAGCACCAGGCACCTGTCTCTTTTCAGCCAGGCCTCGCACCTGCCAGCATAGTTCAGAGCACTGAGCAATTCCTACAGAAACAAAATGGTTACAAAAAAGGAAATAATTTTATGCACATTTCTAAATTTAGGTACAGGAGAACTTACCTGTGGCTCCAAGAGGATGGCCCTTTGATATAAGACCACCACTGGGATTCACTACAAATTTGCCCCCATAAGTATTACCACCAGCATCAATTAGTTCCCCAGCCTTGCCAGGTGGACATAGACCAAGAGCTTCATAGGTGATAAGTTCATTGGCTGAGAAGCAGTCATGAAGTTCAACAACATCAACATCTTGAGGCTTCAGGTTGGTTTTCACAAAAAGACGGTCAGCTGCATTCTTTGTCATGTCATATCCAACCTAAAAGAAAAAATTATTAAAAGTCACATACAAAGATTTATGTGTTTCAATTTTGTTTAATTTAGTTTTAACATCAACGATCAATGAAAAAATTAAGTGAGAGGACTTACTATCTTCATACAGCTATTGTCTTTGAAAGTTGAGGGAAGATCTGTTGACATTTCCATTCCCACAATCTCAACAGCTTGTGCTTCTAGACCATGACGATGGACAAAATCTTCTGAGCAAAGAATTGCTGCAGCAGCACCATCAGAAGTTGGGCAGCACTGCAATTTTGTCAGTGGACCAAAAATTTGAGGAGACTGCATTATCTGATCCAGTGTGTATGCATCTTGGAACTGGGAGTAGCTGAAAAATACACAAGGTACAATTAATTACTAAATTAACATATACATAGAGTAATTGAGATTCCTACTTGGATACCCACGGGTTGTTGACAGAGTGCTTGTGGTTTTTGTAAGCAATTTTAGCAAAGTGCTCAGGTTTAGTGCCATACTTTGCCATGTGTTCTTTGCCAGCATTTCCAAAAAGTTGGGCTGTAATAGGGCTACCATCCATCCCAGCGATGTCTGCCATGACTTCAACGTGTTTGTCCATTGGATTAGTGCGATCGAAAAACTGAAAAAAGTTAAAGGCAATGATCAGAATTTAGACGCATAAGTTAGTTAGTTATCCCCAACATTTTACTACCTTGGAGCTCAGAGAACCACGTTCCATCTTTTCAAAACCAAGAGCTAAGACACACTCGCCAGATCCCGCCTCTACAATTTGTTTGGCTAGAAGCAAAGCAGTGGATCCTGTCGAGCAGTTGTTATTCACGTTGTAGACAGGCATTCCCGTCATTCCCACCTCATACAGGGCTCGCTGGCCACAAGTTGAGTCGCCTGCCAAAAGAAAAATATTCGACTATATTGCCAGAGTGCGTCATAAAAATTAAAAACATAATACAATGTCTCTCCATGAATAAAATGACAATTACCATACACATATCCAACACAAGCTTGATTAATATCCTCTACACGCAGTCTGGCATCATCCAAAGCTTTAGTGACAGCCTCCTTGGCCATCTGGGGATAATCGAAATCTTCCCTTCTTCCTGGTTTCTCAAACTGTAAAAGACAAGAACGAATTGTTTATCAAAATCACAAATGACGGAGAAAAAAAACACTACCGATAATCGCCGGTCAAAGTACAAGCAGCTCCCTGGGACATTCTGCAAGTCATCAAGAAAAACGACTGGTATGTTTCTACAATATTAAATGATGCATCAGTAGGGAAGATAGCGTAAGCGCAATGAAAATTATTGAAATAGGTTGTCATTCAAATACGGCACAGTGACAGGTACAAGAAAGGGGGGCGTGCGAATCCATAACAAACATCGTAGGCATCAGCAGGGCAGCAGCAGAAAGATGTCACCGGTTAAGTTTCCACGATAAACGTCATGTGAATGACAAACGTTAGTTGTTGACGATCGAAAGGTGAGGAAGAAAAACATACCTTTGTCATGCCGACACCAACGACAAATACTCGTTTAGGACTCATTTTCTTCACCGTTATTTCCACCAACACCCTATGTGACCTCCAACCAACACGACAGACAGCCAACTGCAGCTGAGACGTGTGAACTACATTCCAGGTTTACTTCACTTGTCTCGTCGTTCAGCTTTTCTATATTCATACGCGGCACCCTTTTAACTTACTGCAAATTACATCGTTGTTGCGCGATAAAAATTATTTAACTCATTAATTTCTAGTTTGAAACCACTTTTCTTTGTCTTCTGCCCTGCCGTATGATTATTTTCGGAGAAAGTTTATGTCCTACATTCTCTCAAAACGCGGAAGCATACAGCGTTAGTAGAGTGTACAGTGGGTTTCGTATCAATGTTTGGCGCGTCTCTCCGTGGAGAAAAATGTGAAAAAAGCTAGTTTTGTGCGTGTTCTTGCGTTGTACGTTGATACATATTTCTATTGAAGGATACCGTGAACAAAAGTGAAGTGAGTGAATAGCAAATCGAGTGAAATCTACGTTGTGTTTGTATACAAAGTGATCAGTGAGCAGTGACGGCTCGAAGAAATCCATCCCTGGTCGCAAAATTAAAAAAATGTAGTAGAATCAAGTGTTTGCTGTGCTTGTGAGACGTTTCCAAGCGATCTGTGGATGTGATAACCAATAATTTGGTGAAGTGGGTAACTTTTTTGAACGAGTGATGCTGAATTTTCCGGGAAAGAGAATGAGATCCCGGGTTGTTCGGCTGGCTGTACACTTTTGAAATGGCTGCTCTGGTGGTGAAGTCAGGAAGTAACACCAGCATCTGTGGCAGCGAAAATACATCTGCCGGTAAGTTTTGCGACACGGAATTGTGCTTTGTGGAACATTTATGTGTAGGTAGGGCTTTGCTGGTCAGTCTGCTGCTGTGTTTGTTTGCTAAATATCCGTAAAATTAGAACAGCGCGTTAAAAAGTGGGCGAAGTGAAGGTGTTTGAGAGCTGAACGCTAGATGGCGCTCATGTTGTCCACAGCCTCAAAATGGGAGTCATTGACATAATGAATGTACAGGTTACGATGATTACACGCATTTAAAAAATGTTAGTTCTTCATAATAATTTTTCCCTTGTATTTCAAATTGTTGTGCAGTGTCAGGGGATATTCTGCGATTTGGTGGCTCTTGTTTTGTAATGTGGGGAAGAGTTTGCCGCGAAGACAAGTACTGGCCTAAATTAGGGAGCTAACGGATCTTTTTCTTTACCGTGCAAACATTTAATTGCATTGGCGTTTTAGTGAGCCGCAGTCGTCGATCGTACGCTGGGACGTGTTTTTTTCCTCCTTTACGCCAGCTCACGGGGCACTAACTTGACCGCTGCTTTCAAAAAAAGCCCCAAAACATTGCAAGGTGTACAGCCCAGCTTATGGCTCACATATCTCTCAGTGTGAGTTCCCCCTGGAAAACACTTGGATTAGCCGCCCAATAACAATATGTGAAGGAATCCTTTACGTACATCTGTAATATCTCGCTCATCACCAACTCTTTCTCATCGCCCGCGCGTCCACAGAAGTGAAAGCCCTTTTCCAATGTTATTCCTCTACCAACTCTTCTGCTAGTATTTTATGAACAGGTTGTGTTCAAACACAATTAGTTTCGATACCTTTCGTCTTTTTTTCTCATTTTTTAAATTTTAACTTCAATGCACAATTTTGATGGGAAGGTATTGCAGTTTTAGATATCATAACCTCACTCAAGACCTACTTTTTCAGGTTACATACAATTTTCTCTAAATATTTTGTTCTGAGTGTCTATGATCATTTTCTAAATACCTACATGGTAATTTCTGGGAAAAGATAGTCCAGCCAACATATATTTCAAGTCAAGTTCATGCTTAGTGTACATCAATGATTCAATTTTGCTCCAACATCACATCAAAACATACATCAGCTGTTTGCAGAGATAAAATTTCTCTAACAGCAAAGGTTGGAGAACAACCCTCATAGTTTTCTTGGACCTTTAATTTCATAATATTTCTCAAACTATTCACTATTCAGCAGATATTTTTTGTATCAATTTATTTATTTAAAATTTTCCTTCAATTTGCTTTGAATTTTATTTCTGTTTTGTGTTTCAGGGGATGGTGACTGATGTGGGTGGTTGGCCATTTACCAGCAATTCAAGATGAATGGTGAAATACCTAGTGTTCCTATCACCACATTGGCTGGCATCGCAAGCCTTACTGACTGTGAGTTCTAATCCCTTCTCTGCTCTGAGAAATGGGAGATTCCTTTTTGTAATCTATTTATTATTTGTTATTTTTTTCTTCAGTGTTGCCTGAGATGCCCTTGCCCTCTCCGCTACCTCTGAGCAACAAGTCTTTATTGTTTCATCCGAGAGTAGCTGAAGAGGCCCAGAATCTCCTCAGTGTGCGTGATGAATCACTAGTTCCACAATTAATTCAATCATTAAGTCAAACTTCTTCCCAACACATGTAAGTTACATTACAATATTATTGATTCTGTGTTTTATGTTTGTTTTGTGATAGATGTTTGTAGTTGTCATGTTGACAACAAATCTAATATTTCATTCTGAGTAGTAGTGTATATTTTTCTTCTTGTAACATATCCCCCTGTGTGGTTGATACTTTTTTTTCTATCCAAAATCTCAGATGTACCTAACTTGCAGGCTGTAAAAATATTGTTGCCTGTTGTCATTCTGATTTCCTCAATCATTATTATATACTAAATGTGTTTTATTTTGAAAATCCTGAGAACTTAAATATTTGTTGCACTGAGGTATTGGACATGTTTCAATTTTGAAGGAGAGCACAACATTTTGCTTTATGACAATTCCACCACCATTGAAGTTGGCTAAATTTTTAATAATTTTATAAGGGGTGAATGGAAAACTTCTGTGGTATTCGATTTGTAGTGCTTTGTAGCATAATCAGTTTTTTTTTCCTTTTTTCATTTTTGCCATTGTAAAGGCTTTTGGTGTATTATATGCTTTTCTATTACAAACAATGCTGAGAAAACCTGCACCCTCTCCTTTCCAAGAATACTCCATTAGTCCCAAAAGTTTGTAGTTTTCTTCACTCTTTCTTTTAATTTACAAATATCAATTCCTTACAAGGCTGAATTGGTAGCCCACTCCTCGTTTCTAGCCCAATTTAATTTTAATCTTTGTTTACAAACTGGGGAGTATTCTTGTTTTGCATCATTATTGCATGAGCCTCCTTCCAGAAATTGTTTCAGACTTAAATCATAAATACATGACCATCAAGATTGATGTAAAAAGTTTTCTTCTGTGTGGAAAGACAAATATCACTTACATTTTGAATACTGTCTGCCTTGTCTCTTGTCTGCTTCTTGTCAATCTTGTCCTAAAGTATTTGGATTTTATTCTGCCTGTTTTCAGAGAACTAAAGGATCACTATGCTGGTACAGAACCTCCAGTTGAACAACAGCAAAATATTCCCGAACTTTTGAAGGCAATTCTTCACAGGAATCCCAATGTTTTCAAGGGACCACCGGGTTGGTTATTAATTTGATATCTCTTGTTTTCTTGTATGGAGTATTAGAGTTCCTATTATTTAACTTGAAGGAGGCATTGATTTTATTTTGGCTAAATAATTGTGCATGTTTGTGGTGCTTTTTTCTGAAGTGATAACTTTGTTGCTTTCTATGATGTTTGAACTTTGGGCTTAGTATCAGAAAGGATTAATGCTGTTTTGTGGGACCACTGAAGACTTGGAAGGAAAAAATCTAATCCAATTAATAAATGCAACATCCCACTTGTTACTGCATATTCTGTGCAATATTCTTTTCTCTTGCTTTCTCTCTTCTCATCCTGTGACAAAACTGGACACTAAGGCATGCTTGCTTTTAGGACAATAAGCTTGCTGAGCTGTTTTTCAATCTGTTTTCTTCATATGTGGTCTGTGTCGTCTAATTGTCCAGTAGTCTGAGGTTTAAATGATTGTCTACTTCTGTGGTTCTCACTTCATCATTGTTCTCTTTTTTTGTTTCAAACTTTCAATTTAAACTCGATTTATTTACTTATGGGAGCTTTACTTATCTGTAGTGTATTGTTAACTAATTTTGCTTAACATTTTTTATGGGGTACACTAAGTTTCTGCACTACATTTATTGATGTTTTTCTTTTTTCAGCTAATGTGTCTGTCCCACCATGGAATCAAAACTTCAACTGTAACGATTCATCACCAGCAAGTTACAGTCAAGGATCTCCAAATTTATCATATTCCAGTCCTGCACCTGGATATCTCCCTCAAGATCCAGTTCCTGGACCGGTCCCTGGACCAGTGCCGGTTCCAATACCTCCACCGGATCCAGGCCCCCAGCAAAGAGTGTCAGTCATAACTGAACAGTACAAAACTCCCTCAGTGATAAACAATTGTGAACCTGTTGACAAGAGCAGTGTTGTGTTAGTGAAGGAGGAGCCTGTAGTTACACAAGCTCCTCCACGTAGTGGTGGTGTTCAAGGTGATCTTCCCAATAGCACTCAAGAGTCCTCAAGCATTCCTCGCACGAACGCTATGCACATTGCAGGTCAGTGTTCACTTTTTATCAAATTTTCCATTCATTGAATATTTCTCCATATTCATGTATTGAACGTTGTAGGCTCTTCTCCAGCTCAAGCAAGTACAGCACCAGTTACACAGGAGCAAGAGAAATCTAAATTGTTATCTGGAAGACAAAGCCGAAGAACAACTTCTGTGAACCTTGATGCCAAAGCCACCGGTGAAGCATCATCTTCTATATCTGCTACAGTACAAATACCAGAAATCATGAAATTGAAAGAGATGAAGGAACCAGTTGTAAGACTCAACAGGTTATCGGAAGAGGTAATATATCTATTTTATAGATGTCAAAATCGTAAAGCCTTAAATTTTTCTATACATTCAAAATTCTTCCAAAATTAGGACCAGGCTTTAATGCAGAAAAGCCTTAAAGCCTATGCTGAGAAAAACCCGTCTCTTGCTAATAAATTAGGGATAGTAGCGACCCCTTCATCAAACCACCGTTCTGCTCATAACTCCACATCCTATAAGGAGGACTCAGGGTCAGACAGTGATGAGCCTTTGCAGAAGAGCAAATATTTCAAATCAAGAGATAGGGAGAGGGAAGTAAAACGGCAGAAAGGTAAGTTAATTTCACACCAACACTATTTGGTTTTATTCAATCTTATCTATTCAGTGTACTCATACTTGTATACTTTTTTAAAGATAAAGATGACCGTAAGAAAGCTCGTGCAAATATCTCTGATGATGATGACTATGTGCCTGATGATGATTCAACTCCCCAGTCAGGTCGCAAAAGGCGTCATGGTAACTCAAACGAAAGTGGGAACCAAGTTGATGGTATGAAATTTAATCTAATCTTACTTAAGCAGTCTCAGTTTTTTAAGTGTGCACTGTGGTCGTGTTTTGTTATCTTGGATCTTGCTTTAAATTTCTTTTGTGATGTAATTTTGAACAGATTTTGTGCCAAAGACAAAACTTCGTAAAGTTGAAAGAAAAGTGGCCTCAGCTGCTGAAAAACTCAGTGTGGAAGAACTTATGGAAACAAATACGTACCAAAGGTTTATCAGATCCATTGAGTTGATATTTGATAACACTGAAGACTTGGATCTCAACACTGAGATGGGTATGTAAAGCCTTACTCTGGACCTATTCATGACCCTTGCTTTTCATTATTGTCTGTTCTTTAATTTACTTATGGCCACCCTCAGATGATAACATGGATGTTCCTGCTGAGGCTCTTATACCCAAGTATCAACTGCAAGAACTTTGCAGTGAAGCTGCGAAGCTCAAAAATCTAAGTGCAATGGAAGCCATTCCAGCTGACAGACTTGTACGTTTATTAAATGTGCTTGAAAAGAATATTAGGGATGGTGTACGAGTTTGTCCCCTTGCTGACCCGGTAAGTCTATCTTCTGCACTGCCTAGTTTCCTGTTTGCATTCTGTTTGGTTTTTAATAACAAAACATGTAAACTTTGGAACTTTTACCTCCTTAGGATGAAGATGAAGAGGAGAGCAAACTGTGGCTTGAGCTAGCCATGGAACGAGTTATGCGAGCAGTTGATGCATCCCTCACATCTATGTACATCCTCACATCTCCAAATATGCCCAAAAGAATTTACCTAGAGGACGTAATTGATCGTGTAGTTGTGTTCTGCAAGTTCCAACTGGTCAACACTATTTATCCTTCTTTTGATCCTGTGTATCGGGTTGAAACCAAAGCCAAAGCTAAATCAAGTTCAAAAGATGGTATGTACTTTCCATCTTTTCTGTACGTTTAGTGCGTAATATTTATCAGTGACACTATAGTTTTGGCTCAATCCTCCCACAGATCATTCAGGTAGTGGTCGCAAGAAGCGTCAGTCACACGGAGGAGTTGTTAAGGATAAAAGCATACAAACTCTATACAACAAGATTCATGAGTTGGTAGGCCTGTTAAGTGAGCTTTTGAACATTCAAGTCCTTACTGATACTGCTGTTCTTCATGCCTCTACACTTGGTGTTGCACCATTTTTTGTGGAAGGTGTCAATGAATTACAACTTTCTGCCTTGCGTCTTGTAACATCTGTAAGTATCTTTGTCAAGTTTTTATTTCACCTCTGCAACATTTTATTTTACTTCTATAATATAATTTTTTCCAGATTTTTACTAAATATGATAAACACAGAAGACTTCTTTTGGATGACATCCTTGCTTCCATTGCTCGTTTGCCCAGTAGCAAGCGTAGCCTCCGTACCTATCGGTTGAGCTCAGATGAGCACATTCAAATGCTCACTGCCTTAGTTCTGCAGTTAATTCAGTGTGTAGTCGTACTACCTGAAAAACTTCAAGATCAGCTCAACTTGAAGGTAAAGGAAGAATTACAGGCCAAGTCAAAGCAAGGTCAAGTTAAAGAGGAGGAGAAGAAAGAAGAAATTGTCAGTAATGTAAGCAGGAGCTCTTTTTGTTTGTTTTTGCTTACTTTTCATAGTTTGAAGATGCTAGTGGACTAAACCTAAAAACATCCATTACAGCTTGATCGTGATGTTCTAATTGTTGGAAAGTACGACACTGCCATGCGGACAGCTGCAAATTTTCTTTCCGTGTTTTTGAACAAATGTGGTAATAAATCAGAAGAGATTGATTATCGACCTCTCTTTGAGAACTTTGTTCAAGACCTTCTGACCACTGTAAATAAACCTGAGTGGCCAGCTGCTGAACTATTGCTCAGTTTACTGGGAACTCTTTTGGTATGTTAAAATGTAACATTTTATGTGTCTACTAACCATTTCAGGGGATAAATGTTGAATTTAATCTGTATTGTTTTTGCAGGTCAATAATTTTGTCAATAAAGGAACTGATATGGCCCTCAGAGTTGCATCCCTAGATTATTTAGGAGTTGTAGCTGCGAGATTGAGGAAAGATGCTGTGCAATCCCAGTTGAAGGTTGACCATATTGACCAAATTATACGTGAAATAAAGGCTGAAGAGTCTAAAGAGGAAGAGAATAGCGTTAAATCAGTTAAGCAGGTAAGTTAACTTATGCATCCAACAATGTTTGTCTCGAGTTCGTTTTGTATTTTATCGCTCACCTACTTACCTAGTCATTTATTCTATTTCAGGGTAAAGAGGACAATTTGGATGAAGAGGAAGAACGTACTCAGTTCCTCCAAAGAGTTCTTCTTGATTACCTTGCTGTTAATGGACACAATGATCAAGCTTTAATATTTGCGCGTCACTTCTATCTTGCCCAATGGTATAAGGATACATCAATAGATAAGAAGAAATCTCCTAGCAAGTCTCCTAGTAAAAAGAAAAACAGACGGAAGAAAAGGAAAGATGCAAGTAGTGAAGAAGAAAGTGATCCTACATCAGATGATGATGATGATGACAAGGAAGATGCAAGACTAAACGACAATGTTCTTAACAACTCTGAGAAGTTTCGTATAATTGAGCTCCGTAAAAATTTCCTTGTTGGTAAGATTCGTCCGTTCCAAGACTATGTTTCCTCAGGAAGTCGGCAACAAGTTATGCAAACTTATCTTGACTACACCAGTGCTGAGCTCATAACTCGTTTCTTAGCATCAAAAAGACCATTTTCTCATAGTTTTGATGTCTATCTAAAACAGGTAAATAAGTACTAGAATTCTCTCTCCAGTTCTTGTTTGACTGTACATATTTGAAAGAAAAATTCAAATCTGATCGCAATTTTTTATTTTATTTTTGCAGATTCTCAGGGTGCTAACTGAAAGCTCAATAGCTATTCGAACAAAAGCTATGAAATGTTTGACAATGGTTGTGGAGGCAGACCCTGGTGTTCTTGGCCGGCTTGATATGCAATTAGGTGTGAGACATTCCTTCCTTGACCACTCAACGTCAGTCAGAGAAGCTGCTGTTGACCTTGTTGGAAAATTTGTTCTTAGCAGACCAGAACTCATTGATACTTATTATGAAATGCTCTCTGTTCGTATTCTGGTAAGTATCTGTGTTTTGTGCTCATCTCATACTTAGAGTTTCTAGAATATTAATATCTATCTATGGTTTTGATAGGATACCGGTGTCAGTGTCAGGAAGAGGGTAATAAAAATTCTGAAGGACATCTGCATTGAATGTCCAGATTTTCCTAAAATCCCTGAAATTTGTGTTAAGATGATCAGAAGGGTCAATGATGAAGAAGGTATTCGTAAGCTGGTTATGGAAGTTTTTCAGAACATGTGGTTTACTCCTGTTCGGGAACGGCCTACACTAGATACTCAATCTCTTATCAGAAAAGTTATGAATATTACTGATGTTGTTGCCACATCTCGTGAAATTGGTATGGAATGGTTTGAGCAGTTACTTGTCAGTGTGAGTACCTCTTTCATATTGATAGCATTCTTCTTATACTTTTTAGTCTTTGTTTTTAATGTACTTTTTAAAAAAATCAACAGTTATTTAGACCAAGAGAAGACAAGGATGACTCTACAAAGGTTCATGCAGAGCCTCCCAAGGCTCTTTTAACAGCATGTAAACAAATAGTGGATTGTTTAATTGAGAATGTGTTGCGGCTTGAAGAAAGTAATTCTCAAAACAAAGGATCAAATCAAAGATTAGTTGCATGCCTCACCACTTTAAATTTGTTTGCAAAGATCAGACCTCAGCTTCTTGTTAACCATGCAATAACTCTACAACCCTACCTCAGTCTAAAGTGCCAGGTACATACGAATTCCATCTTTACCTTGGTTACCTTAGTATTTATTTAATTGAAACTACGTACTTACTTTCTTGTATTGATTTTTAGACACAAGGAGATTACCAAATAATCAGTAGTGTGGCTCGAACACTAGAGCTAGTTGTTCCACTTATGGAACATCCCAGTGAAACATTTTTGGCACAATTAGAAGAGGATTCTGTAAAATTGATATTACTTCATGATCGCTCTGTTGTGGCCTCATGCCTATCTTGCCTAGGTTCTATTGTCAACAATGTAACAAGAAATTTTAAACTCATTCGAGATTGTTTTAATAAATATTATGGTGAGTTTGATTTGGTGAGACTTGTTTTCATAACTGCCTTGTATAAATAGACACAATATAATCCAATTCATTATTTCAGGTATATTGAGGGATGCAAAAGAGAAAGAAACCTTTGTGAGGCATCCTACTAGTAATCAATATCGCCCTCTTGTTCGTAGAGCTCTATTTACTGTTGGGCTTTTACTAAGACACTTTGACTTTACGGACAAGGATGTTATTGAAGGTCTTGATGTAAGTTATTGAATCATGAGCCTCTCTAAGTGATTTAAATGTGCTTAGCCTTCATTTTGTTTTATTTAATGTTTTTCCTTTTATGTATTTTGTCCAGGCTGACATTAAGAATCAAGTTTTTGAGACACTGATGTATTTTGTTGGACTGTCTGACAAGGATATACAATTTTATACTCTCCGGGCAATAGGTTCATTATGTATTAGACATTATGAATTCATGCTACAAACTGAGCTGAAGTCTTTGTATCATAATCTTCTTACAACTAATGAAGCACCTGTACCTATGAGAGTCCAGGTAATTTATATTGTGTGAAATAATTCAATCTGTAAAGGTTTTTCTTTTTCTCAAATCAAAATTGTTAATTTCAGGTTTTAAATAATATTGAGATGTACTTAGAAGAAGAAGAACAACGAATGATTAGACAAGATCAAGAATGGGCCAAGATGTCTAAGAGAGAGAACCTGAAAGAAATGGGTGATGTCACATCTGGTATGGCCAGTACAGTCATACAGTTGTACCTGAAGGAAATTTTGGAAGCCTTTTTGCATCCTGATGTTGGAGTAAGACATGCAGCTTTGAAAGTTATCCAGCTTATTTTAGCACAGGGTTTGGTTCATCCTGTGCAGGTGAGTGCATTTGTTGTGTAATGTTGGCATTTCCTTCAGACCAGCTTTTCTATTTGAACAAATAATACTTCATATCTTAATCATTTTCTTGTTTCTCTCTTTAGATTGTGCCTTACCTTATTTGTATGAGCACAGATATGGAAAAAGTTGTAAGCCATAGTGCAGATAAGCAGTTGCAAGATATTGAGAAGAAATATCCTGGCTTTATTCACATGAAATCTCAATTGGGTATCCGGCTGTCATTTAAACTTCACTGTATTCTTCAACAAGACCCTAAGGGTGAACCTGTCCCTGTTAGAGGATTTCGCCATGTTGAAGGCGAACCTCTACCTACTGCGTTAAATGGCTTCCTCTACTCAATTCTTAGGAGTACTAAACAGCAGCGTCGAGCTTTAGTTCTCTCTGTGTTGAAACAATTTGATGAACAGGCTGTAAGTATTGGTTGTATTTAAAGTTTTTAAATACATATTCCAATTTCTGTAAGTTTCAATGTTTTAATTTTTGTTTTAATTACTTACAGAAAACAAGCTTATCTCAAATGCTGTACTATGCGGACAATTTGGCCTATTTTCCTTTTCAAGTTCAAGATGAACCACTCTTCATCATTCATCATGTGGACATTATGATATCTGTAACTGGCACTAATCTGATGCAAACATTTAGAGAGGTAAGAATAAGTTTAAATACGGCACAGTCACAATGTAAATGTTTTACCTTTACTTTCAAATTTTCCTCAATGCTAATAATACAATAATTTCAGGCTTTGATTCCATTGAATAATCAAGAACAGCGTCTCAATCTTGAGACAGGGCAACCAGAACTTGTTCCTGCAATAGAGCCTGATGAAGATGAAGATGAAGATCCAGAAGTATTGTTTGCGAGGGTACCAGCTGATACCTCAGTGTTACAAGACATTATTACTTCTTTCCAAGGCTGCTTGCTTCTTTTAGTCCTAAAGCAGCACCTCAAAGATCTCTATGGCTTCACTGACGCGTAAGTTGCAAATACATTTTATAAATCTTATCTTATTTGGTCAAATTTATTTTCATTTCATAACCTGTTATTGTTAATTCTAGGAAAATTACTCAGTATTCACCATCAGAAGCGGCGAAAGTATACGAAAAGGCTGTGAATCGTCGAAGTAATGCTATTTTCAACCCCAAAGCAACATTATCAAAATTGAAGGAGAATCCTCCCGACATTCTTGATGATAAACAACGGAGAGCATTAATAACTCAATATTTGGACGTAAGTCAATTGAACATTGACATATCTTGAGTGTTTTTCTTTTTCTTTTATATTTCTGCCTAACTAACTTATTCGTTTGTCATTATAGTTCAAGCAAATGATGCTTAAATTTGATCCTGACGATGCTGAAGAGGAAGAAGATGGTTCACCAAGCAAAGCAAATATCTCTCATGCAGCAGCAGGTGCTGCTATGCCACCTCCTGGTGCTTCACCATACCCTCATGGAGTGGTTCCTCCAATAACCTTAACTATCAATACAAGCCATGGTGCCAACAGTCCTGATAAAGTACGAATCAACAACATTCAGAACGTGAGTTTGACATAGCAACATTTCAGTTGTCGTCAATTTAATGTTTTCTGTTAACAAATTTCTTATCTTTAAATTTCTTTTTGATTTAGGATGGAACACCTCAAAGAGTACCGAAGTTGACAATTGTTGCACCAAAGCGATCAGAGATCAAAGAGCGTCATCACCGAAAAAGTCACAAATCAGATAAGCACAAAAAGCACCGTCATAAAAAGAAGCGCAAGAAGTATGGAGATGAAAGTGACGACGATAGTGAAGAATTTAGTGATCCAGATTTTCTTGCATAAAACTTCAGTGTAAAAGTATGTGAACAAGTGAATAGACACTATGAAAATGAACTTAGTGTGGTTAAAATCATCAGTATGACTTTTGTAAAGTGTGCAATGGCCAAGAGTTTTATTTTGTGCACTGAACTGAATTTTTTTAAATGTGTACAGTTTGACTTATTTTTATTAAGTAATTTTTAGTATCTTCTAGTATATCAACCGGTATTTATGTCAAATGGAACAATATTAAGAAGTTTGTATCAAATCTTGTACATATGCTTGTATAATGTTATGTATGTATATATAAACAAAAATTATTTAGATGTATTTAATTAGCCTTTAAAAGTGCACATGTTTTGTATTGTGCATTGTGCAAAAGAGGCAACATGTCCAGCAATACCTTTGTAACAAAGTTCATCAGTCACGTAAGTCAAGAAGTTTAAGAGTAATTGTTATTCTTTGTGGAACAGCTGAAACTTCATTTGTTTTTGCTACCATTGTAACAACATCTGAAGTATGTTCACCTCATTCCACTTAAAGATATATTTTCAGGACCAGAGGTTTATAGTAGCATCATTATAAGAATCACCACCAAACTATATAAAAATACTCTGCATTAAGGAATTAATGTCTTTTTATCAGTTTTGCTACTTGTCAACATAATTTATCATAATTGAGAGATTTAATCTAGTAAATTCCACTTTCTTAGTGGCAAGTACATAATTGACGTGATTATTTACCTACTTTGTATATTTGCAATGAATTGCCAGTTATCAGGGTTGATAAAAATCATTCTTTTTTATTTTATTTTCTGTGATTTATCTTTATAGGAGCTATTTAGGAATTTTTCTATTCCTCATACCCAGGAAATCAATCAATTTCTTTCCTATTGTTTTTATTGGTTTTCATAATTGTTTTTGTCCTGCTGTAGTAGCCATTGCCACAGATTGTCGACTGAATTTGCATTTTACTTCTTTTATTGCCTCATTAAATTGAGCCCTGCATACTTCTTTTGCTTTCAGTCTAATATCTTACCATCCCTCCCCTGTCTTTCCTTTTGAACTATCATCGTGATCTTATCTTTTTATTGTGTCATCTGGTGTGGCATCTTCAATTTATGGTACGGTCAGGCTCAGAGTATCACTGTGACCTGGTACATCACCTTCAACATCTAAGTGGGCTAAAGTACAGAAGGCTTCTCTGGCTACACGAATGCTTCTACGCCTCGTATATCATGGTTTAGTCCTCATGTTTAATAGGAAAGTGATAGACTCGAGAGCATCATATTTTAGTAGGGTTATTAGGTGTTTTTCTTAGATCAACACATGAAGGGCTCACAGAAACAACTGTCCATCACCATCAAGATTTGAAAACCTTAAAGTTAAACCAATTCTATGCCACCTTCTTTGATCACAGTAAATCCTGCATGAGACTTGTTGGGTGTGTTCTATAGAACATACCATAATTTTTATTCTACTTGTATCTGCAGAATGCATACAACTAAAGCAATAATCAAACAAGTTCTTTGATTTTTAGGGAGAAAAAAATAACTTATTTATTGTATGCAACTGACTACAAACTTTTATATCAATTGAATCTTGAGGCTTTCTTCAAAAAGTTCCAATTACACATATAATCATTGGGAAAACAAAAAGGAATCTCTCATAAATAAGAAAATAAGATTAAATAAAGAAGTTAAACAGTAAAAGTGATCACTTTTTTAAAAAAAGAATGAATAGCTGGAGGGAGGCTTATCTTGACCTTTTTGATCATCAGTAGAGCCGGTCGGCCCACCAAAAACGTTTGAAGCAGAGCTCGAACTCTTGAAGAAACCAAATCCACCAAATGATGAAGCAGTTTCACCTGCACAAGAGACCAAGGATAGTGAAAGAGTCTTACCACTATGTATAAGTTACTTCTTCATGTACTTCAAGATAACGTTACCCTGTTGATCTGTCTGATTTTCTTCCCCAAAGCTTGAAGGAGAACTGAAAGTAGCTTGTACAGGGGACATGGCCACATCAACATCAAATGGAGGTGGACTTTGTAGGTCATCATACATATCTTCTCTGAACTCTGTAATTAAGTAGTTATTATCACAAAATTATTTTACTAGACAAGTAAGTAAAAATCAAAACTTTATAACAACATTTAAAAAACTACCTGTGTTGTAATTATTGAAGTTTGGCTCTGAGGTTTCTTCATTGGCATCATCTGTAAACATATCGCCTGAATCTTGGCGTGCAACTTTTTTACTACAAGATTCAGTTTGTACAGCTTCACTCTCAGCTTGAAGCAGAGGTGGTTCTTCATGAATATCTCTGTTGTTGTCAATAGTACTCGGGCTTTCAGTCAAATCCTGTTTCATGGAAGAATCTTGAATCAAAGAACTTTGTTCCTAAACAGAAAAGAAAAATTAAGTATGAGACACTCATTGCTTAGGCTTCTTACATTATTGCTTTGAAAAACGATAACTGCTTACAATTTGTGGAGTTGCACGAATTATTTTACTTTTCCCAATTTGAGGGAGATGTGGAACAGATTCCTTCATCTTGGCCGCAATATTATCGGTGCTTAGTATCACTTCTTTCTGCATGCATAAAAGAAAAGCAGAGAATGATTTTTGAAACAATTACTTTCTTTAAGTAATTAAGGAAAATCAGCAAACCTTTTTGTTTCCTAGGCCACTGACTGGGCGTCCAACAACCTTTGGAGATTTTGGGGTTTCAGTTGATGTCTGCTCAGACTTGCTTTTGTTAACAGGTAGGTCCACACCACCAGAGCATAAGACTGGTGGTTCCATTGGTTTACAAACTGACAATTCCTTTACACAACCTGAATCAAAGAACATATTTTAAAAGGATGTAGGAAACACCAAACTATACACACAGTGATATTTCTGTGAAGGGCTTACCTGATTTCTCTTGATTTATCTTAATGGGTTCCACTTGCTTTGACAAACCAGCATGTGAAAGGTTTCTTCCTTGACCTAGACTCATATCAGTGCTGCAAACGAGCTTTGCAGGAGGATGTGTGACCTGCGTTATCCTGAGATCTGTACCTTGACTTTGACTTGAACTCGATCCTTTAAAAGGGTTTGGGGCAACATTTTTAAGTGCATCTAAAAAGCTATCCATCGTAGGAATTTTGAACGGAATAATTCGAGGATTCTGTTCAGGTTGAACAACTGGTATCTGAAAAAAATAAGCACTAAAGTAAACATCCGCTTGAAATAACTTAATAAATGCATGCAGTTACACATTTATAATATGCTTGTTAGAACCAATGATTTTTATCACATCATTAGCTTATTGATAATTACAGGTTTTTGACTGAGTATCTTTGCCTCCTTTGCTGCAATTCTTTCCTCCAACTCTCTGTAAGTTTCATATGTAAATTAGTCCAATTAACAAGAGTAAATGCATGAAATGGATTGAAACAGTAAAATTCAACACCTTTTCCTAAGTAGCAACTCTTCATGTTTGGCCTTCTCATCTTGCTCAATTTTATGCCATTTAATCAACTCCTCTTTCAGCTCCTCTAATCTACGAGCTGTTGATAATATGTTTATTATATAGAAACAGCACTCTACTTAAAACAGAAAAAAGAAAAAAAAAAACAGCCTTGTAATTTTCAACACATACCTTTGCTTTCCTGTACTGATTTGGCTTGAATCTGTTTTTCGGCAATCTCTTTTTTTTTATTGGCTGCCTCAACCCTTAACAACTCAAGACGTTCTAACTGAGCATTTCTTTCAGGTACTCGAGGATATTGGTTATATATGGCCTACAGAGAAAACAACATGATCCTTACAAGTAAATTTTCACAACACATTATACCAATTGATTCTAAGTTAATACTGAAAATTTCAAAATACCTCATACTCTTTCCATTTATTTTCATAAGTTTCCAGTGTTTTTCTATATTCTTCTTTCTTTGACTCAATGAATGCTTTTTTAGCTTTTAAATCATTCTTAAGCTGGGGAATTAATATTTCATCATGCCACGCTATACGTTCTTCCTCACTTTGGATTTGCGTAACAAGCATTTCCGCTTCTTGGTCACGAAGTTTCACTTCAGCCTTTGCGATAGATATCTCCCTGAGCTGGGCTTCCTTTGTAGCTTTTAATACTGCTATCTGTTCTTTAAGACCTAGAAGAAATCATGTAAATAACTAATTTGAACTGAATATTCCAGGCTGACTCATGTCATGTAGATGTCCTGTATGAGCAATTATTTTCAGTAATCCCTAGGCCAAAATTCTCATGGACTACATGGGAATCCTATGAATACATCAGCCAAAACTTTTGTGGGAACTGAGGAGATCCCATTGTAACAACACTAAAATCTCATGTCTACCGGTAAAATGGGGCACGCGCAAAGGCAAAAAGTAGTACTTACTTTTATTAATGGACAGTTGTTTTTCGAATTCTTCCAGACGAGATTGGAAATTTGACTCAGCCATTATGATACTCGGAAGAGATTTATGGTACCCAAGAACTTTAAAATGTCTCTACAACACTGGGCCAACGCCAACGGCGAACAGAACGACACTCAACTACGGATACTTCAGACCTGCAACTTTCAATCGGGGAAGCAATCGTGCTACTGAAGTGCTCCTCGGTTCAAAATCGACGCGCAGCAGGGACCATCAGAGTCATGTCACTTTTTAATTATCCAAACGCATATTTCTTTCAAGCCAGAAAATTTGTGCAGTGAATCGTAAAAATAAAATAAATGCATTTGAAAGCTACTAAAATAGTCTCTGAATCAGTTTGTGCTGTGTATTTCTTATGACCATATTACCATTCTAGGCATTGATGGGACACTCATTTGTCTCTTCAAGTTCCGCCCGCCCGCGCAGCTAGCTGCATCCGGTTTACCGCTGCACAGCTTTATTGGAAGAGACGGTGGACGCTCCCCACGCTCCCTTAGGCTCGCTCAGCTTCCCCGCAAAATGATTTGGCGCCAGTTTACCCGACGGGAGACAACGACGATTGCAGAGCTGGACGCGAAAAAGATTGGCGTGTGTGGTGTCATATCATAGGAATTACTTTTACTACTTTCAGTCAGTCAATAAGCACTAGAGGGAATGACCAAGCGACAGTGGTACCAATAAATGAGGTGGTGGTTGTTGTTGCAGCAGCAGATACTGCTGTCTGGAAGAGGTTGGTATCGTTCTTATTTTCCACCCGTTGCTTCGCGGCGCGTCGGCGTCGGCAACGTACAAGAAAGTGTTCTGACTATAATTATTATTGTTATGATTATTATTTTTTCACCTGGGTCCATTGCGTGACGTCGTGTGTGCTGTGCCCGTCTGAGTGAATGCCCACGGCACTTTTCTAATCGATATCATCGAAAGGCTTTACTACTCCTTTATCAATTTATATGGCTCGACCCCTGTTTTCTTTTAAACACGTGTGTGTGTGTGTGTGCCGTAGCCCTGCCTCTGCGCGCCTGCGGCGGTGCAGAAAATGACGTCGTGATGTCGATCTGCCGTGGGATGCCGCCGCCGCTGCTGGGCGAAGGGGGCCGTCAGACGTAAGTACTGTACCCGTGAGCGGGCACCCTCAACGAGCACGCGACTGGTCGTGGTGGTGGTGGTGGTGATGGTGGTGGTGGCAGCCGAGCCGACATCGAAGACATCGATGAAAAAAGAAAAAGGGTTGCGGGTGTGAACCGGTACAGCAGGCGGGTGCGAGCAGGCAGGGCCGGGCCCTTGCCTCTGGTGTTTACAATGGGACGCGAGCTTTGAAAATATATGTAAAAGCTGCAAGCGGGGCGATAATTGGGAGGGAATTGATGGGAGTATGCACGCGTGTGTTTGGCGCGGCCCTGCTGCGTGTGGGACCCTGCCCCCCTCGCACGCGTGTGTGTGTGTGTGTGTAAAAGGGGCGGGGGCGGATAACTCTCGATGGAATTCGGGGGGCGTGGCGGCGGGGCTCGCGATGAGGCGTCAGCTGGGTGCCGGGGGAGAAGCGTCGATGACTGGGTCTGCTGGAGGGTAGCAGCAGCTGCACCCGGCGGCGGCGGCGGCCCCTCCAGCCAGAGCCAGCCACCGCGGTAGTACAGGGCACCCTCTCTGAACTCAAGCACCCCGCCCCCTTCCCCCACCTCCACACGCACACACACACACACACACCGTAATGACGACGTAAATTGCAGCCATCGGGAGCGACGTACGTTTTCGCCTGCTGCTGGCGTGTTGCTCGTGTCATTTGAAATGAAGTCGCACCACGAGTGGAGCGGAACTCCGACTCCCGACTCGATTAGAAGGCCCGGCGGGTCCTTTTGTCTTTTCTTTTCGCCTTTATCTTAACCCCCCCCCCTTTCCCCCCACTCCCGCCTTTACGTCTTTATTTAATTCACGACGTCAATTGTTTTCTTTTTCTTTTGAGGAGAAATAGTTTTTCGACGGCGTCGAGGGGTTTGCCGGAAGTGTACACCCGGAGAGCCGAGGGGGGGGGGGAGGGGGGAATTGCACCGAACGGCCAGGCGAGAGCATGGGGACACTCATTTTTGCGGTCCCCGACGGTGGCATCGACCAAAAAGAGGTACTTCTAATAGCATAGAGAAAGTCCGAAGGCGAGCCCGAGCTCGCGTCGAGCAGGTACTTTCGGAAACGCGCAGAGTTTGAACTAAAAGGCGAGAGGCGGTGGTTGGGCATCGGCAACGTCTTGGTGTCCAGCGGAGCAGGGTGGTATAGAGTGTGTGGGGGTGGCGGTGGGGGGAGTGGGGGTGTTCGAGCCCGAGGCGGAGGGCCTAGAAGGTGCGTGCGGGGATCACAAAGCCCAGGATGTGGGGTACAATACACTCACACACACGCACACACATCACTGTACACATTTTATGGTTGACTAATCAACGGTTGTATCGCCCGCCGCACGGGGTGGGGGGACGGGGGGGGGCATGGCCCTGCTATCATCATGATGCCGAGGCTAGGATTGGATGGAAGGTACAGCAGGGATGCCCTCGGGGGGTTATCTATAACGCTCGCTCTCTCTCTCTCTCTGTCTCTCCCCCGTTGTACGGGCGTGCTCTCGTCCTGCTCCCACGCCGTCGACAGGTAGCCGGCGGCTGCCCCGCAGGTCCGGTCCGGCAGCTGCTTCGGGCCGAGAGCCACACAAAGCTAAGAGCTAACGAGTAGAGTGGCTAACTGGCCGGAGAGCTGCCCTCCTCCCCTTCGGCCTGCGGGCGTCGCCCTGCGGCCCTTTAACAGCCGACGCTGCTCCAGGATCAAATGCGGCGGAAGCCAAAGTCAACCCAATCGGAAAACATCATCCAACGGAATATATTTCACGAGGCCTCGTCGATCCTCGGTTTTTGTTTGGGTGTATCTCGCACGTGCACGTCATGTCCTCCTAGGAGCCTGCTCAACACCCGCGTGGTGGCCACACTGTGGCCACACTGTGGTCACAATGTACCGCCGCGCCGCAGTGCGTGCGTGTGTGTTGGGTTGCCCACTCGCACGGGGCGACAATGGCAGAGTTAGGCGGAGCGTGAGCGTGGAAACACAACAAGGAAAACTCCACTAAACGGCCAGAAAGTAGAAGTTGACATGATTCCAATCAATGCGTGGCCTTCGTATACAGGATGGGTCCACCGACCACTTCATTTCTTTTGGTCATACCGTACCGCATACAGGCGTGCGGGCGGGTTGCATACTCACACGGGGCCACGCATGGTGAGCGACGTTAGGCAAGCCCGCAGGCACGCCTGCTTGCGGTACAGTACACACGCAAAACAAAGGAAGGGGTCTGTGGACCACCCTGTATATTCTGACCCATTCTCGCCCCGTACCGGACTCTGCCGAGCAGCAGCGTGACCCGCGTGACCACCACGACGGCGCGGGCCCAGCGTCGTCTTGCAAGTGGGACGCCCCCCCGGCCGGCGGCGCGGAGGGGCCTACCTCCTCGTCGTGTATGGTATGGCAGGGAGCCCCCCCCCCGCGGGGCCAGGCCGGCCGGGGCGGGGAGCAGCGGGGGGACCTACTCGGACATGGCACCTTGTCGCTGGGGCTCCTATTGTGCGCCAGGCGTGCCAAAGGCCCCCCTCTCTCTGCTCCTGAATAGGATAGCCGCTTGGACCACGGCGACGACGACGCTGCCAGGTGGGAGGACATGGAGGGGGGGTGGGGGTGGGGAGGTGGTAAACCCGTCGTAGCGAAGATGCACGCGCGGCGGCGACGTCCGAGGAGCGAGGAATGTATGGTGCTTCATCTTTTTAAAAGCCTTGTGGGAGTGGCCCGCGGGGGGGCAGTTGGGAGGAGAGGGGGAGGGCCAGCGGGGAGCAGAGGGTGTCTAAGTGGCAGGACGGGAGCCCCAGGCTTACCGATAAGGAGGTGTGAATTGTAGTGCACGCAACGGCAGCCTCGGCCCGGGCATAGCCGGGGCAGCCGGGGAGGTAGGTATCCTCGGCGTCGTACATGGCCACGGGGGCCACACTACCCGCCCCCTGCCCCCCTGTCCCCCCTGCCCCTGTGTGCCCCTGTCGCGTCCTGCGGCCTTTACAGGAGGCTGGGGTCCGCCTGGAGGCGGCAAGGTGTGACCCCGCGAGGGACAATGGGCGCATTTACCCGTCCGGTCTGTCCACATGCCCGGGGTGCTGCCCCCGCTCTAGCTCTAGCCGGGCACATTGGGATTGGGTGCAGGGACCTCTCCCTCTCCCCCCAAAAGCTGTCAGAGGCTATGCTCGCCGATCAGCTGGCGTGGCGACCGCCAAACAGCCGGACGGCAGCAGTGTAGGGTGTGGGGCTCGTTATCAGCGTCACCACACCACCTGGACCCCATGCCTCTCAGGGTTGCCAACAACAAACCGAGGAGTACTTCACTGAGGGAAAAAAAAAGGCCTAAACAAAGTATACCCTCCGAACAAAAAAACTAGAAAAATCAGGGAAACATAAAACATCAATTTTAAATAAAATCTGTAGTAAAACTAGTGGAAAATCGGAGAAAATTTGAAAATGTTGAAGAATCAGAGAAAAATCAAGTAAAATGAGTGTAATGTGTCGGATTAATAGTGAAGTTCCCCGACTGCCGCGGGCCGCGGGCCGCGTGGCTCGCGCTGATGCCCGGCAGGAAGCTCTCTGCAGTGAAAACATCCGGTCTTTTTCGCGTCCAAAAAGTTTGCGGCAACGCTGACCACAACTATAGTGTGGCGCGGTGTGCGCGGTAGCACGGCGCGGCAGATGAATGTGTGTGTGTGTGTGTGTGTGAGCGTGTCTATAACACGCACTGAACCGAAACGACGCGGCGCGGGACGCGGCTGGCCGGCGTGGACAACGGCGAGCGCGGCATGCCCACCAGCGCCCCCTCCGGGCCTCTCCGGGCCCTCTCCGGGTGGCGTGGCGGTATGGCCGGCTAATCCAGATGGTCGTTGGCCTCGTATCGGATCGGCTGCTGCTGCTGCTGGGCCGGGGCATTGTCATAGGGGCAGCATTGGCGTGGCATTTGGCAGGGCAGGGCCCCCCCGATCAAGGGGTTCGTTTGGAGCCGCAGCCGGTCCGGGGGCGGACGGGGCGGGGCGGGGCGGGCCCGGTGGATACTATAATGTTTGTTGCCCGGTCTATAAAGTAAGGCGACTGG